AATAAAACCATTTAATTTATAATTAAACTAACATTATCTTTTTAAATACCAAATTCGTAACAATATCTTGTAATTGTATTCTTTTGTTATCCAGAAACCTTGAGAAAATACCAGAATGTTCTCGTGCATGATTAAAAGCTTATAAAAGCTGATGTAAAACATCTCAGTTTAGTTGCTTAATAAGTTCTTGTTGTTGATTTAAGGAATTCGTGGTGAGATCGGATTAGCTTTCTCTGGATTTTGAATTGTGTTCTATTTAACGTTTTTAGTAGTTTAAAATATAACCACTGTGAGATATTGTGATATTGTATGAATATCTCTGAGGGAATTTCAGCATTTTATTTTATTTCTGGGGATAAGAATAAATTTTATTAACTTTTTATCGACTTGTGCATTCAATCTATTACGAACCCCTACGCTATAACAATATATATATATATATATATCCCTGATATTCTCTTTCTAAATATTTTTCATGAACCACCGCAAGCGTTTGCATGAACAGGATCAAAATTTTTACGAATGTTAAAGTTAAAAGTTGGTTCTCTGTTTTTCGATTATTATTACGTTGACCAGTTTTTCAGGCAGTTTTTTTTAAATTGATTATAAATGCGATTTTCATTTGGCAACATTAAGTGCAACGAATGCTTTCTTCTTTGTGGCAATCGGTTGGCTGTTGACATGGATCGTGTTGAGCAATAAATTGATCCGATCTGCTTGAAAAAATTTTAAATTTATTATAAATCGCATATTGTGAATTTTATAAAAATATAATATAGTACATATACTATAAGTAAGTGTTAATAATAAAAATGTAAATAAATTTGTTATTTTTAGCATTTGCGTTATTTTATGTTACTTGTGGGTCGTTTGGTATTTCCGGCCATTTTCATTTCTGTTATCAACTGTAATGACAGTGCATTTTCGTTCTGATTTTTTCAGGTTTACCATGAGCACTCGCATTTATATAGGACGTTTGAATTATGATGTTAGAGAAAGGGATTTGGAGAAGTTTTTCAAAAGTTATGGAAGAATTAATGGCATAATGATAAAGAAGGGATTTGCATTCGTAGTAAGTTGTTAGAGAAAGTTTCCGATAATTAAGCCCTTGCACCATTTTGGACCAACATATATTGTTATCAAATTATGATTTAGTAGATTTTCCTTTGCATGTAAGATACAAGTGGCATTTTTGTATAAAAATGTTCTGGCTATTTTGAATGATATTTTTAATTAGAAGTAAGTGTGAAGTGTAAAATGTGTGCGTCATCATGTACAATTCTGATTCGTTGTGTGATTTCTGGCCTGAACTTTTAGAAAAATACAATTTTGTTAAAATGAGGAACAAATGTTTATCGTCGGTAGAGTGAATACTTTTTATATAATTGTTAGAATATGAACAGAAAAATGAGCAAAAGTTAATATTTAGTTACAGATTTAGGAAGTAAAAGTATTATTTATCGGATGACTAATCTCTTGCCGTATTTTAATTCTTTTTGTTTCAAGACTAAAGTTTAATTATGTTTCATGTGTCATTTGATTTCATTTGCCTTTGCTCACGTGTAAGTCTCAATTGATTTTACTCAAAGCATTCAGATTTTTAGTATTTGAGGTTTGTAATTTTTTAAAAGGTATACAAATTTGAGAAGATGTGAACTATTTACTGTCACAGTGTTAAATACTCTTTTTAAATGTTTCTGAATACAAATGAGTATTAATGTTCTGTGATGTATTATGACTGGTTGCATGCTAACTCCTTTCAGTAATTTGTGGATTATTCATTACTTGGATTGATTTTGAAGGTGAACTTGCTAGTTTAATTTAATTTTTTTTAATTGTTGCTTAATAAACTGTAAAATTCGGAAGTGTTCAGATTGGTATTGCAAACTGAAAAGTTATAAAATGTGTAAAAGTGTATATAATATTAGCTCTGTGGAATATGTAATGGAGAAATTGCAGAATCACCCACTGCTTGGAGTGTTTTTAAAAATTGCACATACTCGGTATGCACATACACATCGACCTATTTTCACTTAAACATCCTAGAATTGCGCACTCCCTTGTTTTTATCCATGTACACGTTCATGTACACGTTGACCTACTATTCTCACTTAAAAAGTCAAAGAAAATTGACAAAAATCCAATTTTTCTTACTCTTGTAAAAAGCGCCAAACAGAAAAGTGGGCGATTCTGCACTTTACCCCATGTAATTGTTATATAACAAAAAATTTGGTATGAAAAAAATTTTTTTATAACTTATATAGATTAGTAGGACTTAACTGTGTTACAATGAAAAACTATTAGCCTTCTGTATCACTATTACTAATTGATAATAAATTTTTACTAGCAGTATTTAATATTTTGATTGCAGAATTTGAATTGTCATAAATTTCTCTATAATTAAAGATGGCAATGAATGAAAGCTTTTAAATATGCTTTATTTAGAAAATAAAAATCCTTGTATTAATTTCATTGAATATTAAATGTATTATTATTAAGCATTATTCAAAAAGATATGAATGTTATTTAAATTCTGTATCAGTTGTTGTATTTAAGTTTTCTGTAAAACTGATTTTTTTAATTGTGACATTAGCATGTGTGCCTTTCAATTTGAGTTTTTTCCAGTCTGTTCTTTAACAGATCCCGCTTACTTGTATATTGATATGTACTATAAAAATCCTAGTTACTTTTTTTAGTGATTTTTAGATCCATGCAAACTATATGTATTTCCCATGGAGGTAGGAAGTAAGATGGAGTCGCCCTAAACAAGTTTCTCCCGTACCCTGCTCTGAAGCACCGGCAATCCCTACGTGGTGACCAAAACATCGGGTCATTTACCATCGAGTTCAATGAGATTTACGCGTTCGGGTGGAAAATTTTGTAATTACGTCATAATATACATATAAGTATATTTTCTTTTTCTACAACACTTCAGAGTCCTAAGTATATTAAAAAAACATATTTTTAAACAACATTTCATTTGAACGGAATTAAATGCTATACTTTTTCACAGGACAGTTTTCCAGAATGGTTTGTTTGAATGAATATTTTCACAAGTTTTCGTTAATTACATTAGAAAAAAAAATTAAGGTAATTCGATTTTATTCGGTAAGGTACAAAAATTAAGATCAAGTTTATTGTATTATTAATATTAAATTATGCATTATTTCTTTTCTATTTATAGAGCTTCTTCCTAAAATACTTTCTTAAATATGACATGATTTTTTTGGCTCTGAGCATCTTTAAATCGAAAAATGTAAGTCAATTTTACTTAATACTCTATTCGGTTCATTTTAAATTAGAGAATTATTAGGAATTAGCGAAATACTTTAAATAGTACTTGACTTTCTCTGAACATTTCTGAAAGGGAAGAAATAAGTTTTTTTTTGAAGTATTATTTAAAACTTGTAACTGAGTTTTATAAAATGTAAGGGGAATAATTCTTTTAATTATACTTATCAGATTTTTTTTTACTCCTTCATTTCAACAATACATAATCCAAAATCTTTATTACATTCTTAAGTACGCACCTAGCATTTGCTTTAACAATACCTTTTACAGATTGCTTTTCCAATACGAACAATTCTTCTGCTTAAATAGTTTTATAACTATTTGTCAACAGATTTCATTTGTTTACTATTCAAGGTTTATCTTTGATATGGTAACTTGGTGATTTCTTTTTTTTATTTACTCACACTTTTTCGATACAATTACCGTCTAATTACACTTATGCTAGAAATTTATGTAACAAAACTGCTATCATGACAATTCACTGCACCAATTGGGAAAAGTGCACAATCGCAACTCCTTGCGCGTTTTTCAGAATACACATACACATAAACCATTTACATGTCGACTTTTTTACTTAAAAAAACATCCCAGAATTGCACAAAATGGTATTGCACACCTCTTAACTTTATCATCTACACGCTATTTTCTCATAATTACAAAATTTGCAACGAAATGTAGGAAAATTTTGTGAATCTTTAAACTCGGTAAAAAGCACATATATGAAATTATCTGATCACGAAAAAGTATATACCCAATCCAAGAATGAACATTTCCACGTATAATATAAATAAAATACCAAAACTTTTACCTCAAATAATCTATTATATTATAAGCGTCCCCAACGAATTTATACCGAACATTAAAAATAGTTTAAATCCTTAGTGTCAAATATTTAATTTTCCATGCATGTTTACTTCAATTAAAACGTACCCAATTCGTACAAACAAAATTCACAAATAACTATCATTTACTAAAATATCACTAACCATGTACCGTCGACTTATTTTACTTAAAAAAATCCCAGAATTGCACAAATGGCATTGGCACACTCTTCACTATATCCATCTACACTGCTTTTTTCTCATAAATTAGAAAATTTCACGAAATGCACGAATACTCAACGTATACTACTCAAACGTATTCCAAAATACTAAAACATATAACTCACAATCACGATCATTAAATTAAAATATAATTAAATTAAAAACCTACTTAACATATCTAATAAGCACATACATTAAATTAATAAAATTAGATTACAATCCTAATTACTTTAAACGAAATCATTGCTAATAATAATTTTCCAATATACATATTTATTACTGCTTATATTTAGAACATGATAAAATAATATCCTCAATGATTAAAAATACTACTTAACTTACCTAATCTTCTCTTCAGAATCTTCATTAACGTGGCCCACACTTCCCTACAAAAGAGTTCCAATCGCTGCGTACTACTGCTAATTCTAAACCGAAATCCAGTAGTCAACGGCAGTCTATTCACCCAGTAATAAAAATTAATAAAATTCATTCACCCATACTCCTAACTACTTTCCAAATCACGTACCCTTCCTTACACTCCGTTCACAAAATCTACATTTTCACCGATTTCTTCACCGCCATAAATTATCTGTAATATCTTCCTTTCACACATCTCATTTCATTTCCGCATGAACATCAACTTATCACAATAACCTACTATACACATTCAACCGATTTTTGAATCTCAGATAAAAGCATTAAAAATTTAGAATTCACTTTAAATAGCGCCATGCAATCCGAAAATTAATCTAACACTATTTACACAACACACAAGAACTTATACAAAATAATATAGTACCAGATTTTCCCATTTTACCCCTTTTCCATTAAAGAATGTCTTCGTCCATATTCACATGCATATCTCATGATCTCTCATTTCCCTCACCAAATAAGCGTATTCGAACTGAGTACTTCTCACATTATTACCAAGTCTAGTTAGTAACCTTATCGCCTCCGAAATGTCGCCAACTTCCTGTTACCATATTCCAAAGATCAGCCAATTCATATTAAGTTATATCTATTTAGATAATTTAAATTATTATAAATTAGTAATTTAATAATTAGATTTCTTCACAGTTGTTTAATGAATAATTCTTCATCATACATTTATAATAGAGTTAATGAATATTTTAGTATTTTATCAAAGGCAGATACGTTTTTTGCAATATAGCAATTAATTATGAGTGAAAAAAATTTGTTTTATTTAACATTTCGGTTTTAATAAATAAAATACAAATACTCTATCAGGTTCGAAAGAACGTAACAATTTTAATGTACGGTAGGTATTTTTTCATCTTTAAGCCTAACATTTTCTTAAATTTATATTTTTGTAGTTCACACTTAAAATTTTATAAAACAATCATATCAAAATCGCTGTGTTAGTTATCGAAATAAGCAAATTGATTTTGCTAATTTTCACTAAACTTACAATTGCTAGGCTGATCTTGAATTGGTAATGGTAGTTGGAGCGATAAAGGTTACACCTAGACTTTGTTTTAGTGAGAGCACTCAGTTCCGATTACGCTTATTTTGTGTGAGGGAAATGAGATATGGCTTGACATTAATGACTAATACATTGTTTATCAGAAAGGGGGGAAATCTGGAAATTTCGTATTTAGCTATATTCTGTTTGGTTAAACGGACATTAATGACGATTACAGTTCTTTAAATCAAAAGGGGTAATTTGAAAGCTTCATTGTGTGTTGGTGAAATAGGTTGATTAATTTCAGATTGCAGG